ACGCAGTCTTTCTCCGTACGTAGTAGTGCTCCATGCGATAGGGGGGAATAAGGGAATAAAGCATGGTGTAGCGTGATGGCTTAACTTACTTTGGATAGTATCGATGGTCCTCCCACGTACCAGCCGGCCGGACGGTCTGTTCTTTTTTTTTGGGGGGGGGATCTGGGCGCTGGGGATAATGGAGACCGTACACAATAGGAGCGCGGCGTAGGTTGGTGAGGCTGATGATGACGACGAGTCGGCCGGCAAGCGTACGTATGTCTTTGGCGGATGTTAATTAACTGTAGGCAAGTCTCCTCCCTTCCCTCGGTAAGAGGTGCCCTTCTAATATGGAGTCCTGCTTGGAGAGCAGAATGAATGGTTCGTCAGGCTAAGCTCCTCATTTTGATGCAAGCTTCAGCTGTCTCTGGTCAGTCGGTGGCCGCAGCCGTAGCCGCGGAGCCGGATGCTCTATACTTGTGCGGGTATCCGGCAGAGGTGACTGACGGAGCAAGACTTTTGAGTCAGGCTGATGGTTGATGCTGTGCGGAGTAGCCTGTGGTGAAGAAGAGGGAACACAATTGGGGCTCCCAAACGGGAATAAGCTCAAACCGATAGGCTGTCTCTTAATTTTGGAGTTGGCTCGGGCGGAATGATTGTCGTCAGGGTCTGGGTCTGGCGTGCCGACTGATCCAGATGGCGCGTTTGCTGTGCCTCAGCCCCCAACCACCACCAAAGGTGAACGCTGTCGGTGCCGAAAAGGCAGCAGGTTGAGCTGGTTTTCACTCGAACTCGGAGCTCGGATTCCCTCCACAACAGTGGCGTTTTCCCGAGTCCATCAGGCTCCTCGACGTGTGAGAATGTTTCCCCGGCAGCTAGGTGCGACCCTTTAGGACGCAACGGAGTGCTCCGTCTGTAATGGGGGGGCCGATTCCGCGGTGAAATAAGCCAACCCCGTCCGGACAGCCTATCGCTGGTCTTTGTCGGATGGCGAAATCGGTGTGGCACCGAATGTCTCTTTTTGATGAATCGAATCGTAGCAAAGTACTCCGTTTCCGTAGGTAGATAGTCTTTTCACAACACTGGTGAGGATGGAAAAAACCGGGCATGTTTGATGGACGGCGGATGGAGACGAAGATGAAGGATGACAAGGCCGCGAATAATAATTTAAACCTGGACCAAGCACAGCCGCCGGCCAAGGAGGCAAATGAGGGCGATAAAATGGATGTGACGGCGAGCGGGAGGGTGTGGGCGTTGCATCCGTCAAGATGGATATGACGGTCGGTGCATGGATGATTTGATTTCGTAGTCAGATCGGCTGTCCACACATAATTCTCTCTCGGTATCTTTGTATCTGACTCTGTGCGAGACGTCGGTCAGCAAAACTGCCTTTGTATCAGTGTGTTGCGATGCAGGAGCAGAGAGTGCCGTGGGAAGTCTCGAACCGTCCTACCCCGCCCCATACGAGGAACATAAAAAAGCCTAATGATTACGGATACTGGTATACGAATTCCTGGGACGAGATCGAGAGCGATGCAATGGGGATGAGCGGGAGGCCGTAGTCTGGAGTCTGCAAGATGGGATGTCTGTGTCGTGGAATTGCATGCCGGCCAAGGTTCAGGTTGGCCGGGATGGGACGTGGGAGACTGGAGATGTGCGGGAGAAACCCTGCTGGAAGGCACGGCATGGCATTCCTCTTTGCTTTTTCTTCTGATCTCCCCATGGTCCTTCCCATTTGCTTAATCAAGATGGAAGAAGGAGGAAGGTCTCTGTCATTACGAAAAGGAAGGAGCTCTCACGATACGTGGGTGCATGTGGCAGGCAGGCCGCAGACACAGTTATGGACGGGCAGGTACTCCGTTGGGAAGGCAGGCACCAATTGGTGTATAGCAGGTACGGGGTACGCAGTATGGAAAGCGGGTGCAGATTCGGGGTGGAAGGTGTAGGCTGACCAGAGCGTATCGTGGGTACGTACCCCCAACCTTCCTTCCCTCCCTTCTCGAAAAGAATTCAAGCTTATTTCGACAGTTGCTGCACCAAGCTTTTTCAAAGTGGAGGCCAATGTATCCAAAAAGGTACGTACCAGAACTGAGCCGTTCACCGTCATCCCTTGTTCTGTGGGTGGGAATGTCAGGCCGAGTCAGGGGCGTGGGGTTAATCCGCCTCGCAAAAGAGAGGGGTGAAGACAGCCAGCGAGAGGTGTACCTATTCAAACAAACAGATTCTCGAGCTGGAGCATCAGCAAGAGGAATACGAAAAGGGTGAAAACACGACAATGTTGCAACATCGAATAAGGTAGAGCATCAAGGCCAAGCAATGGCAGACGCAGAAACGCAAGAAAAGGAACGATTACGATGCGCCGCCGAGGCTCAATTCTCCACCACAATGGCATTCCTCCTCAGCAGGGCCCCATCATCCATCACATCCACTGAGCAAGCACAAGACTAAAGTCACTTCTTGGTGCAACTCCGAGCAATCGTATACCTACTTTATCTCCACACCCACCTTTCGAACAGCGCCCTTTCCAAGGCTGCCAAGACAAGACAAGCCCGCAGCCACCGCCGACCCCACTAGAGAAGGTATATCGCTGACCTTTCTGAGCGGTGGTCCGCGTGGGTGGATTACTGTTGTATTCCTCGAGAATGCAAAGTGTGGATAAGAAATCTGCATTATTTGTTCCGTGCTTCCCGCCGACAAAACGTCACCACCACTGTATCCGAGATCGAGGGTCCCACCACCAGCCCCTCCTCCTCTTCTCTTCTTTGGCTGCTCCCGTCTGCTTATTGCTGCAATAGACGCATCCAAGTTCCTTGATGCTCACTCAGAGTCAGCAGAATTTACCGTCACATCCGTCCAAAACGTTACTTCCTAGTACCCAAATTCCTCCCGTACGGATAGATAGCCTGTCAGCGGAACACGGAAGCAAAGAAACGGAACCCAACAAAATAGCCACCAACTATCCGTACCAGGTGGAGACTCCATCGCCGATACAGTGTTGCCTCCAATTCCGTTAATCCGTTCCCCAATACCAATACAACACGACCGCCGCAACGAACGGCATGTCGAAACGAGTCGTGCGTTCGTTGTTTATTACAACATGAGCCTGAAAAACGTGCCGCATCTTCTACTGTCCCTCGGGCCACACGAACAAGGAAACCCGTTCCAGGAAAAGGAACACCCAATCCATCTATCTGTACCTAAATCTTTTCTTTGGACCCCCGTCCTGCACCATAAATATTATCCCGCGGCCGACCGGCCGTCTGTCCAAAAAAAAAAAAAAAAAAAAAAAAGCAAGCCAGACCAGACTCTAACGAGAACATACATGCATGACCTTAGCCTCGTATAAGCAAACGCACGTCTGACTAAAAAAGCCAAAGTGGGATCAGGGTCTGGGAATCACTACCAGCAAAAGGTATTGTCTGGCCGTGCTGACTACGTACAGACCACCTAATCTGTAGGCTAAATCACTAACCTTCTTCCCCCTTGCTTGCCCCGTACTCCCGTCTCGGGAAAAGGATGCGCCAACGTCTCATTCCGCGATAGCGAACACACAAGGTTCTGCAGAGGATGTGATGGGAGACGGGGTGAGGGGCGTAAGTCGGCTCCCACTAAACTCTGCCCGTTATCTGACCTAACAAGCATTGGTCATTCTTGTTCCCTCTGGTAAAACACCCGACGAAAGACAAATAGAGTATCCAGCCAGCGGCAATACGGAGCAGAAAATCGTCCAAAAGGACACAGTTGAGAGCAGAGACCGCGAACAAGGTTAAGTCCGTTCTGCTCGCCAGTCTAGGCTATGGTTGGTAGCCACTAGCAAATCAGATGTCAAGTCCGGATTAAACTAAGGAAAACTAAAAAGGAAATGGAAGATTAAAAAACAAATCAACCGTCCGCCCAATACGCCGCACTGCACACACACACACATACACACGCCCCCTCCCGTCCCCTCTTCCCGACCGCGTAACCAAAGAATGAACAAAACCCTAAATCTGCCATTTGGCGCCCATCGGCCAGTCTTGGCGAAATGACACATACCAAGAAGGCTATGTGGACGTCCCAAGACCCCGAGGCCCAGACATTGGGAGCCAGTGTGCCAGTCAACATGGATTTGAAAGTTGAGTGCAGTATACGGAGTACCTAAGGACTGGGATGGTTGGGAGTATAAGACATAGTGCGCGAAGAAACTGTTCCATGTCGATCGATGATCTGCTGCTGCTGCTGCTGTTGCTTTCTCATGTGCCATTGAGAAAATTTCCCTTCGTTTTTTACTTTTCTTGGCTTGGGTAATTGTTTTTGCTTGGCTTGTCCCCGAGCGGACCTTTCTTGAGAGACATTCTGTGTGCTCAGCCACTCCGTCCAAGACATTTAACTCATTTAAATCCAAGAGAGAAAAAAAAACCACATGAACCACAAAGGTTATCGGCGCCCAGGCCAAGACACCGGCAATTGTATAAAAAAAAAAAAGCCTACACGGAGCAGACGGACATTTCACATTCATGATGCACCGGCGTACGGGAGGGAAACCTGCTTACGCTCACCTCTGTCATTTAGCCAAGCCGAAAAGCATAACCCTAAACGGAGATGCATCACCTAAAAAGAGATCTGACTAAAACCTAAGAAAGAAAAAAAAACCTTGTCCATCCCACAGGCCTGCATACGGATAGACGGAATTTAAGAAACTCCAATCCAATCCGGACTTCAATCTTTCCTTAGTATGACGCCCACCCCGGGCACACATCACATGGATTCAAAGACCCGTATCCAATCAAACCACCCCGATGGGTAAATCAAAGCAAACACCCCCATGTTCGTAGCTCAGCAAAGGCTGGGACTTCTATCAAGCTCACAGGTCTCTTTCTCTTTCGTGTACGGATACTCCATCGCCAATCCTGCCAATCCTCCCTGGACGGGGAATTAACCATAATCTTAGCCACAAGCAATAAGAAGAAGACTAAAAAAGCTGATCTAGCCGCAACCCAAGCCTCGCCCGCCGCACCAGAAACCCCTGCCCTCGCGGCGCCGCCCCTCCTCGTGCCGTATCACGTTCGTTTACCAAGGGGCCATGACCAATAGTCAACCCATATTTACCAAGCCCGACGTTGGCCGTGCAGGAAAAGAACTCCCTCATCCTCATCCTCATCCTGCCAGGCAAACAAGGTCGCCGTCTGCCTTAGTGTCCCAGGCAGACAGGCACGCCGGGCTCAGCTTGAAGACTAAAGGTGCTTTAGCGAGAGCGGATCACGAAGTTTCTGCAAAGAAAAGGTTTCCCTAAAATTTCACTCAATTCCCTCTCCTCGTACAGGCGGCCGCACATTGCCAAGCAATTGGGGTTAGGCAAGAGTTTAAGCCAACATTGATTTAGTCCTCTCTCTTTGGCTCTCAGCTTGCTCTCGCTCGTCAAACCCTCCATTCTTGGTATAGTCGAGAACCACTGACAGACCAAAGCAGGGCCCGGCTGGGGTGCTGGGCAGAAAATCCTTGTAAAAAGGGCCTCCTTCTGGGAACAGCAAAACCACCCGTATCCGTACGGATACAGGCAACGCTTATTTCAGCGAGGAACATCACTTTATTTTATGACAGAATCGACCATCGGACCATCGCTATTTCTCTCGTGATTCTCTCGCTGTCTAGTGAATGATAGATAGGCCACACCGAATATGACGGTGCAGAATGATTCTCATCACCGGCCCTCTCCCTTTCTAAAATTCTCACGAGTCACAGGCTCATCTTCCTCGGGCATCGCCATATCAAGACTTCGGCTGCCCGCCAGGGTTCCTGAATCGGCTTCGAGATCCTCTCCCCCCACTCCCACTGCCTCAGCCTTTTCCACACAAACTCCCATGGCTGTCGTCCCCGACTCATGTTTGCTCACTCTACTTTTTTCCCGTGCCAGCCTCGCCCTCCCGCATCCCGTGGGTTAGCGATACCAAGCTTTTGGACAACAACCCGCTCGACAATCGTGCCATCGTCGTTCTTTGTCTTTTCCCGATCTCCACTAGCTCATGGGATCGTTGATTCAGAGATTCGCAACCGGTATCTTGAGGCGCATACTTAGCGGTAGCCTATGCCTCCACCCCTCTCTCTCTTTTCGCGAGTTCACACTCATCTTTGCCCTTTCGTTGGAACGACTAGCAATAATCATGACACAATAGGAACTTATCAAATTCTCGGCGCCCAGGCTCGATCCAATGTAGTTCACTTTGAAAAAAATCCGACGCCGCTCACCCCCCCCCCTCTCCCCTTGTTTACAGTCAGGAGAGAAAAACGTGTCCTTTGCATACCCGTATAATATGACCTTATTACGAATAAACTCCAGCGGAAACTAGCACTCATACGGAAAGTCGACGCGCGCATAAGAGGAAAAGCCGGTGCCGTCCGTCCCAGACTCCCAGGGTAAAGTGGTAAGCCAGCGGTACCAGCCCTTCAGCGACCTGCCTAGATCAGCAGGAGGATGAATAGGAATCATCGTCTGGAGCCATACGGGGGGGGCCTATCTTGCTGCTTTCGAACGAGATCCAACTGGAGATGGAGCCCGCCGCCTACATACCGTGCCGCAGTCCGCAGACCAGGATGATGGAAGGAAGGTCAGCACACCGCCCGCCCGTGCTGTGTGCTAGGGACGAGCTGCGCTGCAGCCTGGGGGGTGGGTGTGTGTGTGGGAGCTGAGCTGAGCTGAGCAAGGCACATGAGCAGTCAGCTGAAATGAGGCGCGCCAAAACGTTGAAACATGATCGACTTATTTCTCCATCGCTGCGGTACATCTGGTGAGTCGCTTCTTAGCATTCCGGCAAGAGACGGTAAGAGTCGTGTGTCTCTCGAGGACGCGGGAAATCTAACCATCATGCGGCTATCCCATCCCTTTGCCGTGGAAAAGCAAGCACTCAAACAAAAACGTATCAACCCGTCCATGTCGGCCGCCTATCAAGATCACCCAAGGACAATACGGATAATTGCAGTGGGCAAACACCGTCCGTGGCTACCCAGTCTCTCGGTTCCGGTTCCCTTTTTTTTTTAATTTCTCTTCAAGACGCTGCAAACAGACCTGGGGGATGCAACCCAGATACCCGGGACCAAACAGCCATCTCACACACCCTTTCAAACACAATACCAGGGCACCTAAGCAGTCTCGCTATCGTAATGAACCCGAGGAATCGAAGGGCAAGGGAAAGCATCAAAAGCTGCATGGAAACGACTCAAGTCCATCGTACAGATACTCGTAACTCGGGTCCTGCTCGATTCATTCCTCGCTCTCCAAATAGCCAACATCTTGGGTGCTTAGCTACCCAGTCTTGCCAGTGTGCCAGGTGCCAGTTTAACCCCCATGGAGACCACTCCCTCCACGCCCTCCTCGGGCTTGGCCCACCATCGACATCATCACCATGCCCATCATTGCCTAGAACGAAAGACTGGCCTGTCCCGCACAATCCCCATGACAATAACACAAGGGAAAGGAAAATGCCAAGAAGGATCCCCCACCAACCCGACTGTCGCCATTTCGCCGCTGCCGCCGAGTCGACTTGCTTCCTCTCTGACTCTTTCCCTCTTAGCCCCCACCGGAACAGCGGTAGCTAAAGGGGGGGGGGGGGAAGGGCTGTGTGTTTTAAGGTCGACCTGTCAGTGCCAAATCTTAAAACCCTAATAAAATGGCCCTGCCGGAAGGTCGCAATATCAGAAAACGGCGGCCAATAGTACGGTAATCCCCGAGGCGTGGAGGATGCGCGCGTACGTATGTCATGTCAGGAACGCATCACTGTGGGGAATGTGTTCAACCGAAATAGCTCATCCGTTCATGCGAATGGTCGCCGGGCCCTGGCTCTCTTTCTCTATCGCTTTCTGTCTTCTCAGCCTCAGCTCAACTGGCAGCCCAGCTGATATGCGCATCGTGGCTCTTAGGAGCCCAGATAGATGGACCATCCTCTCGATATCCGCGCGGCTGAATTAACATATTGGCGCTGTATAGGTTGCCTCAGCCAAGCTCTGAACGTTTGAAACAGAGTACACGAATGGGCAATACCACCAACTCTCTGTAGGAATTACTATTCAGGTACTCTCTCACATTGACTTCTGCGTTTGGCAACTGTTTCGGTCTTTTGCCATCTGATATCCCGAGCCTCGCATGAATGCCGTCAATCAGCGCACGCAACCCAAACCTCGAAATCTCCCAGCAGGAAACCCGGCCGCCTGGATTGATCCGAACTTCGAGGTCCATCCGGGCGCCAGCCAGCGGCCATGTAACATTCTCAAGCGTGTCCCAGAAAGCGAGTGCCAAAATAACCAGTGCGACCATGACATCCGCTTCCCTCTTCTCCTTCACTGCACGCCCCAATAACAGTAACACGTTCCCGTCCGCGTAGAGTTCACCATCTAGGTTTTCCGTGACTCGAGCGTCTTTGGCATCCTGTCAGATGTATAGGATGAACCGATGCCAAAAAACGGCACCATCCACTAACTCCGTTCTCCCGGCCTTCGCCATACTGTCGTCGTCAGCTTCTCCATGTCTGTGAGATCCGGACCCCTTCGCATCACGCACGGCATGCAGCCCGTCGAGCGCGCGCGGCCTTGGAACCATCGCATCGGTGCTCTATTAGTCTGTTGAGAAGTTGCGTCTCTATCCGTGCTCGGTGCCGCCATGAAGCCCTCTTCGCAGATGGAAGTCCGTCCGCTCGTGCTAGACGGCACCGCTTCGGCGAAGGGGAATACCTTGGAATCGTTGGCAATGCGGCTGAATGACACCATACCGCAATATCGGCCCAGATTCGTGAACCCCCAACGTCAACAGCCAGCCACGAAGAGCCACAAACGCCGTCCCACGAGACCGTCATTCTCCGTTGACTGTAACCCCCATGTGCCAAACAGCCACGCCTAAGTACACAATGTCACAACACAAACCGCCGAGTCCTGCCCCCGTGCTCCCGTCAGTCATCCGTCAGATCCCAATCTCACCGCCCCCTTCGTCAGATTCTCAGTCCCAAGCAGCCTGGTGAGACAGAGCCCGGCTGACACCTGCAACGCAAACAAGCTGCACCACCGCAACGGGCGGGCAACCATCAACACGGCACAGCATCGCGACACCGACACTAACACCAGCGAAACCGACAAAAGCCGTAGTACGGCGTAACCGTAACCCTTTGACAGCCGAAACCGAAAGAGGACCCTTCCCCTTCCTCCCCTTTTCCTCCGTCTAATCTCTCGACTTCCATTCGTTCCATGGCTTTACTTGTCTGTCCCTCTCTCTCCACGGATCATCAAGCTTAATTTGGCCTCATACTGTGCCAACCCGCCGGCTGCCCCCCTCTCGTATTACGTACTCGGTTGGTTTTAACGTTTCTGGCATATTTGACGGGTTTCGTATGCCCGAAAGCAGACGCCCTTTGTGTGACCATCATAACCGCAGCAAGCTTGAACAACGATGGACAATGTCCTTCGCACAGCATCTGTGTACGAGTGAAGTAAATTTCCCACGGACAAAGCTAGTATGTCTACATGGCATCAGTCGTCCCCGATCGGCAGCGGGCAGACTTATTCAAACACTCAAATTTACTTCCCGCCCATTATCTCCCCAAGAATCTCGTTAAGCATCGGCGCTGAGGCCGGCCGCAGCGTTGCATCGCAGGCCGAACGTCCCGGCGTCCGCATTCTCCGAGAAGGGGGGGGGGACCCCCGCAAATAGCCCCGGAGATCCCTTCAAGCTTCGTTCCATGTTCACCTACTCCAACAGACTCCGAGATCTCTCCTCCCCTCACTTTGATTGTTGTCCCCGAGCTTGAAAAATGTCATTAAATGAAGAGGATAGTCCCGGGCCTGGGATGACCCTCGTTGGACCCCCAACGAGCTTCTTTCTCATGAGGCGAAAACGATTCGTACGACACTACACAGCCTGGCGCCAAGACATGTCAAGTCGCAGTGTTTAACAAAGGGTGGGAAAAGCAGTGGGTAACGGAGGTTGCATCGTAACATTTGACGATTTTACCGGTAACACTGGTAAACCCTCGAACTGTCCCAAACCGGCCCGCTGTCCTTTTCCCCCAAAACGGTGTTGCGAACTCGAGGGAATTTGAACGTACCGAGAGTGTTTCCAGCGGGAACGGAATCCCACATGTAACTGTCGTTTGGCCTTGTTTAACGGAACGGCATGCGATTCGTGAGACGTTTTCTACCCAAGACTCCTACTTTGACATGTCGCACGCCGTACGTCGATCCCAGAAACCTGGCCACTGTCGAGAGGAAATGACCCAACACAGACAGGTACCTTTTGGGACATCGCCTCCAACTGGCCTTTGAGGTCGAGTATCCTAAATGTCGCCTTATTTTTTCTTTTTTTCTGCAGAACGTCTTGGCCGGCAGGATGCATGAGTAGCGAAACAGGCTAAGGTGGACGGGTGGTTGGGTGGGTGTGCTGCGCGCAGGTGTGTCTGCGTGCAAGTCTGTGATAACTTGCTCTGCAAATCAGAACCAACGACAAAATCCACTCAATCCAACCAACCTGCTCTTGTTGCCTGCGTGATGTGGGCGAATCCAGTGGCAGGATGCACTTGTGGTTTGATGTGTGCGATGTATAGCCCCCTGCTCCTCAGGTCAGGCGAATCGGGTACTTTTGTCTCCCAAAGTAGACAGCATGATAACAGTACGGGTAGAACTACATCACGTTGCCAAAGCAATGTACGAATAGTTCGTACTTGTACGGATACCCATAGCCTGAATTTGCTAAACGCTTCACAGTTGCACCATGGATAGCAGAATGGAAGAAAGGGCTCAATACTACCAGACGCCAGTTCCCCGTTCCCCGAATCCATCAAACCGTTGCCGAGTCTCCCGTCTACACAACGGGAACACGGCAGACCGAACGGCAAAAATTAACCGTTGGGTAATTAAGATAATTACTCAAATGGCAATCTGTATCCGCGCGTGTGCCCATACCAGCAGCATCATTAAGGTTGGCCCAGAGCTCACACCCCTCACCCTAGCTACCTTAGCTCAAGTCTCTTTTTCCCTCAAAGTTCTTCCCTTTGGCCTCGAACTGAATTTGGACGAACGGGATTCCGGCTCGTGAAACTCCCCCCACCATCGTCTCTACACCCTCCCCCCGGACCCCCTAAGTTCCCCTCCCTTTGCAGTCATGACCATTGGGGATTAGAGAGTTGGAGAGAGTGAGTAGCGTACTATATCCGTAAAGACCATCGTCAGAAGCAGGCGCCACGAACCAATCACAAGCGAGCCGAAGAGCCGGGTACTCGTCACCCTTCTGTGCAATCTCGGATCAAGGCAACATGAAATCGTTCGAATGTGCTCAGAAGCACGGAGAAAGACGCCGAGACCCGTCTCGCTGCTGCCATCATGAACCAGATATCATCAAACAGCTCGTCTTTTTTTTTCTTTCTTGCACGGGAAGAATTGCCATTAGGATCACGCCGCTGTAATGTAGCCGGTAGCGACTCCCAAGGTTAACCTTATCCATCGGTCTGGATCATCCCTCCCCTGCACCTGGAAAGCAGTACCTAAACCTTTCTCGCTCACGGCACAGCGGCTATCGAATGACAAAAAGAAAAGAATGGGAGCTAGCTTTCTCAAGCGAGGCTTGCAAGCCTTTCAACCCGCGCGCCCGCGCCCGCACATTTGGGAAGCGATGGCGCAGAATCCCTCGGAGATGAGCCCAGATAGACTTTAGGGTGTCCTCTACTTTAACCAGTCTACGGCTCGCGAGATCCGTCCAGACGAATCACAAAAGGGCAGAAAGGCTTGTTTGCAGGACCATCAGCCCTGTAGGCTGCACGAAGGAGGGAAAGACTCGAAGGAGGTGTGGCACGCGTGCCCACCCCGGGATCGAGTCAGCAGAGTCAGCAGGATTCAGCCAGGAGGAATGCTCGTCGATAAAGCTAGGCCCCATTTTGGGATAGCCCGCCATCCATCTCCCTTCCTTTATATCCAGGGCTAGGATATCTCCGTCTTCAGGAGGGGGCGGTTCACCCTCGCCTGATTGTCAGCTTGAAGACTTGCCTTTCGGAAGCTGAATGCTTCAGTCGACATGGGGATTGTGATGGCTTGCGGGATTGGCTCATTCATCTAGGTCGGCTGGGCTTGATTCCCCATCTTCTTGTAACCGGGAGACCCTGGGCCCGACCATTCGAGTCAAGGTATCGTAAAGTTGTAGAGGGATTTACGTCCTGCCACTTCGGCCCACGGCACGAAAGCGTATCCACTGCCAGAGTTCGGGAGTCTATTCTCTACGGATCGAGAGAGTTTCTAATTCAAAGGGGGCTTATTAAGTACCTACAGATATCCGTACACGTGTAAGATAAACGACGATCATCGGCGCATCGGCATCACCCACAGATTGACTGGACGCGGACCCCGTAGCATCCGTATCATTTCGAGAACATAGCCGTCCACCCCTCGGCCTGCCCAAACAGGCACAAACCTGGACTTGGCGGTGATCCTATGGATCTTGGGTGAATCAGGATGTGTGTCCCACCAAACGGCGAACCATTGCACACAAACGAGGCTCGGCCTCTTTCTATTGCTGCCAAGGCCGGGTTGGCGCTGCTGAGCATTCCGTGACACATGTTTGGTGCGTTCGTATCCTTGTGGGCTCGTACACGGAGGCGGGTGATACTATGGACTCTTTTTGTCTAGGTATGTTCATTCGGATCTGGTGGCTCGTAGTAAAAACCGAGTCCTGCTTTCCATGCGAGAGGAGCAGACATTGACCTGAAAGTAGCATACCCATCAGCCGATTATATCCGTACGAGTGACCAGAGAAAGAAAAGGCGTGCCACCGGACCGATTCTCCACTGGTGCTGCATACGCGCACACAATCCGACAATCTAATTACTGAGCACCTACTCTGTAATGTGGGAGAGCCAAGGTTTTCTTCGCTCGACGGGTTAAGCGAAGAAAGGGGTGGAGGAGGGGGCACACAATAGGCCGATGTATCCTTGCATCAAATCACGACGGTGGACAGAGTAGAGAGCCAAGCCTAGTCCAAGGCGCCAATCAGTACATTCCTCGGGTTGAACCATGTCCATCCAACAATTCTTACGCGACCGGATACCAAGATGACGAGAAGTCGACTGGATAATAAATAGCCTGAAAGCCATGGTGCTTGGCTGAGCCAGAAGGGATAGCTGTTGAAAGCTGCCACCGTAAAAAAGCCAAGCAGAAGGCCAGCGCCACTGCACCATGAGCAGGTTTAAGCATGAATTTAAGCGTTGTCAGCCACTGCTCCTAGCGCCCTCTTGGTCTTCTTGGCATACCTCACAGCTCCTCTGGGATCTGTCGATGTTCTTCTGGAGGTTGTGGTCGGAAACGGGGGGAGGGGGGTGGCTGGAGTAAGGGGGGGCAGAGGAGGCAGCACGGTTTTCCTGCCTACGCCCTGTTGGTGAGCGGCAATGTCTTGGCCACTTCAGAGTTATGGAGCCTAACGGACTTTTCGAGGAGCACCGGGTCCGAGAGAGAAACGGTTCTAGAAGGCGAGGCGAGAGACACATCCCACAGGAAGAGAGAAAAAGCACAGTTTGAAAAAGAGTCCAAATATCCCAAAAAGCAATACGTCGCGGATGCCGTTTCTTTCGGCGTCCGGGAACAGACGGTGTCAACTTAGTCTCCGCCTCTTTGGATTTTCTGCGCGCAGCAATATGTCTGTGTCGGTGTGCAGTATCTGTAGCCGTAGATTTTACAAATTAAGGCGGCAGCTCATCATAAAAGCCGGAATATCCGTCCTCTTGGCATGGGGACGTGAGCTGGGCGGCCCTCTTCTCTTCCGCTTCCGTCCCGACAAAGGTAAGATGCTTATTCAGACGGGCGATCAAAGTTCCCAAGAGTTAGCCTTGACTTTAGTGAACTATGCGTCTGTGGCTTTTGCGGGAGAAGGTTTATGGTTAAGATTGCAAGAAACCCAAATAAAAGCCCGCCGCCGCCCCCTGCTCGCTTTCGGTCGAGCCGTGGGGAGCACGGGTTTCTGCTTGACAGCCTGACGGGATTCCCCAACATGTAAGAGTCGATGATAATGCTTATCACGCTGCTAATGATCGTTCATGACTTAAGTTCTATTAGTGCCTGCAGTATGGCAATATCGGCTTCGTGGAGGTCAGCAAAGTCAAAAAGGATATTGCCCACTAGGCTTCCGGACCAGCCGCGCAAGTCCAGAAGGCGGATGAGCACAGTGAACAGCCTAGAGAGCCTCACTATCTCAGGTACTGTTGCGTATTTTTGCCCGTTTCATTAGTTGACTTCACACATGGCCATCGAGTCAAGGTCAACCCCCTCCTCCTCCCGCCCCGTCTGATCACTGGAGACCGCAATGGAAAGAATGATGAGACGAGGCGTACCGATGCGAAGGGCTCCCAGGCCGACCCGAACCGACCAACGAGGCTGCCCAGTGGTGCCGGCCAAGAGGGTCCATGCTCAAGGCTTTTCTTTTCGGCTTACGCTCTTGGCCTGGATTCCTTCTCATGCTGAGACGATGGACTGTGCCCCAACTTACGGATGTCGGATGATGTGATTCTGAGTGTAAGAAAGGCGAAAAAGATGACGGCGGCATCAGCCTAAAACCTACTGTATCCGTACGTACGAATAGAGTATCCGCAGTAAGGATAGTACTTCAGATTCTCTCTCTGCCCAGACTGGCCGGCCATCTCGCCCAATCTTACCTTGATCGAGCCTGGCCCGCCATCCCATGTCCCTGAACGCCGACTCTGAGCCAACAGGTCAGAATAGGCTCACAACATCTGCGGCACCTGACAGGCTTCCCTTGCAGGGCGCAGCTTCATTGGCTGTAGGAGCATTGACTGCTGAGAGAATCGACCCCTCAGGAGGATAGCTCCTGTGTTCCTATGGAGCACGAGTGCATGTACGAATACGCCTTTTCCAGCCTCCAGTTTGCCCATCTACGGATAGGTATTCGTACCTTGTGTGAAGGGGACCCCGCCGGTGTGCATCCCGCCTTGGTTCGCCGCAAATTCGCAGGGCAAACGAAACCTCTTCTGGACCCGGCTCCGACGCTGCACTGTTGCGCTGACCACAACCCGCCGTTGGAGCCCCCCGTCCGACATGGCCGATCTGTCCAACGCATGTCGCCGCCGTCAGCTCGACATCAAGATGACACAATACGCAGATGGAGACCAAGGAATATGCGGCATATCAGCATACTCTTTCGCAGAGAAAGGACGTAGAAGCAGCCAACAGCTGGATAGAGAAAAGCCTCCAGCTCGGCACATTCATCGCCTCCCAGGTCCCCACTCCGTTCGCTCCCAAGCCGAACCCGAGCAAAGGTCCAAGAAGGGGGCTGTTCTCGTGGAAGCTCTCCACCATACTGATACTTGAGCAACTTAGTCCACCAAAACCTGGATAACGGCGAAGAGAAGCCTAGAAAAGGAACTTTCGCCAGTTCATTTTTGGCTAATTGCAATCGCGATGGGAACCCGCCCCAGTGGCTATCCCTTCGATCCACGGCCCAGTCGGGGCTCCGTTCATCTGTTGCGAAGTGCCGCGCGCAAGCCAGCGTTGAAGCACAGGGCATCTCGCAATCCGCTCCCATGATTCGGTTTGCATAAAGGATAAGCCGTGACAGCAAACCCTAAATAAAAGTGTAAATCCCAAGTGAAGGGATGTCCCCTTGAAACGGTGCTGCCTTTCACCTCCCCCCCCCCCCCCCCCCCCCCCCTTTGGAGAATAAGGATAGACGTCATTAAGGGTCAGATAAACCCACGTTTGCGAATCGGATAGGAATAGAAACGTCGAGGTTCGGTTCCCGGACGTGCAATGAGAGTACTTCGTAGATATTGGACATCGATCTTAATTCCGACTCCCTTCGGAAACTCAGATACACGCTTGGCGTGTCACAAGTTCACAACTGGCTATCGTCGGAGGGTCGCTTCTAGCACCGGGTGTCCCGCTCAGTCAGCGGCTCAAGAGCGAAGGGGATGGATGACCTTGCTTAGTCACGGCATCGAGGCGGCTTAGAAGCCAGATGTCTGCTCAACTTCGGTCAGCATCATGAAGTTTATCCATATCGCCGAGGGCGCAAGCCTGGCTCATATTTGCCATCAGCGTGTCGAGTGAGGCAGTCTTGTATTATGTACTCCTTGGGTGAGTCTGTCTTTCCAATGTAGCCAACTGGTACTCCGTAGGCGCCACATCTTTGAGTTAGACTCAACGCCACCACAACCACTGGTGAGCTAAGCTTCTCGGGCGGTGCATCTTGAACGCAGCCATCCAATGTATCAGTTGCTTCACCTGGTGGATGCGTTATTTTCATGTCTGTCGTTTATTCGGGAATATCTTGAAACGCAAACAGATGCGAGAGGTATGGTCCTTCCACCACAGAGAATCCTTTCAACTTTCATGTCACAGTCCAATTGCATGAGACGGAGCGGCTCTAGCACAGTTCGTCCTGTTTCCCTGGAGCCTGTCATCACATTAGATGCCAACTAACAGATTGAGCGATCGCCTGCTTATGGCTCATGACCTCGACCTTAACGAAAGACGATGGCACGGAGCTAATGCCGCGCCTCTCATGCAGTGCCCTTTGGCGCGAGAACTCGACCAACGGCTTGCTTATCTTGGATTTGGAGGTGCCCATCCTACGAATGACGAGCCCCATCCTGCAGCAAGGCAACTGGGATGAGTCCATCTTCCCGGTCTTGGAACCGAACGGGCGTCTATCAGTTCCCTGGGACAGTTCTACGTGGGCTAAAAGGCAGAAGCGGTCGGCAAAGTAATGACTTCAAGTAAAGACGGGCCGCGAACGCGGACTCAGCCTGATCAGTGTGGTGCTCCGTCCTCGTCCGCCAATCCCAAGGGATGATTCAAGACCGACTGTTTACCAAAAGGCTCAGCCCAGTGGGTTCAGGAACTCTCCTTACTGAAGAGGTGACCACTCCATTGTGTTTAATAGCATGCAGCTCGAATCCTTTGGGCGAGATCGGGCACCAGGACTAGCCACTTGCCAGAAACCGGTCTGCTGGGTCTGCGGACTTCCACTCAGCTCGCCAGAAGAATTTTTGCTTGGGTTTATCCTTCAAGGTCCATCACCTTTCACCTTACCTAGTTCAGCAGGTCCAGCGATACCGCCCACGCGTCGGCGAATTCGGGAAGCTGGCCGGGATGCCACTTTCGCCGTTGATGGTACGGGTCGCCGAACGTCGAATGAGAGTCTAAGATGCCACCAAAAGTGAGTCTTTCACGACGAGAGACGCATCGCATCATCGCCCTTGGAAGCAAAGTGAACAGTCGTCACGAGCGATCCTCTCAGGGGCCACTCCGTAGGGATGGCAACTTCTGTTGGGATATTTGCCTTTATGGATACATGAAAGAACGGCCCCAAGTTAGCGACCGACCATCCGAGAATGTGATGCACGAGTAACGTCGATGACAAGCTCGTAAGCTTACCCTTATTGTGCCTTTCTGGGCTCGTCACGTCTGCTCGTATAGACTCCACGCTTCTTCCCAGCTCACACTTCGAGGCAAGTGAACTAACTACCAACCGAGTATCCGTGTATGGAACTTTTTGAGTTTTCAGAGATGAATGGCGAGCTCACCGTAGATTCTCCGTGTATGCAAGGTTAAGAACGAAGATATCCTCGTCGCCCAGTAGCTTTCATGGAACTGGCTTTACGGATACTCTATACGGATGTCTGCATCGGTGATCGGTCCCCGTGAGCTGGATAATTCACTGTTGCCTAACGATGTCCAGGAAGAGTCTTTGCGGCGTGAAAATCCTGACTTGATAATGCGCCGCCCGACATCGAAAGCCTCCAGCTCCTCGCCAATCCTCTCACATCGAGAATGGCAGGTGCCTGGCGATGGGAGGTTCACGACGAGGGTGCGGCGGCGTCGGTGACTGATGGATGACATGGGACGAGGGGACCCGCTTGAGCGGCACAGAACGGTGCCGGGCCACGAAATTGAAGACTCTAATCTGAACGGGCGGATGCCCGGATACGTCGGCGGCCCTTGGAGAAGATCCAACCGTTCCCTCCTCCTCCCAAAGGTCCCTACGGTCCCGAAAGATTGGCAGCCTAACTCCGTAGAGAGACAACACTAAACCAACTGCTCTAGTGCCGTTTGGCCACCGGATTGATGCATTGGCATTGAGGCAGTGCTGGACCACCCCCTCCCCGAGTCCCCAGTTCCAGCCGAGCCAAGCCCAGCCAGTCAGACTCGATGAGAAAACTGGCGGCGCCCTGACTACTAGACGAGGGCCGTCGTCGATGAACCCCGGAGTTCAGGGCGCCTTCTCGGTTATGTCTTGGCAACCTTGCTTGTCAAAATTCAAAAAAGGGTTTGTTGATGGTTGTCACCCTTCACGCCCCCAGCCCGCAGTTGTCTAACCGGCGTCTTCGGGGCGGTTCTAACTTCCGGCTCGCTGGTCTCCAGCATCGTCCCTGACTTGTGTAGTTCAAACTATGCTCTCCATACCCACTGACCGGTACAAACCCCGACATCTCATGTAGGAACGCAACGAAAACTCAGCTACTAGCTGCTAAGGCGGCAGAACGCAGTCGTCCGCTTAGCATTGGAAACTAGCATCGAAAAAGGATGGGCGAGACCTTGCGAGAGACAAATAAATGGGCCGATGTGAAGAAGTCACGCACCTTGCCTGTCAGTGTCAGGCCACCCAGGAGACGATGGAAAACATAAACCTCAGCCAAAGAAGTTTAGTTCCCTTTGCAGAATCCGTGACCAACACCAACACCAACACCAAGTTTCAACAACCAACAAGACAGACGGGCGTTGGTGCGCCATCCGTCCAACCAATTCTGGTGTGTGTGTGAGAAGACAGAAGAACGCCGCCGCGGCGCACAGGCCGTGACACTCCCTAGCTAGGCAGGCTTCCTTGGTTGCTTGGCTTGGGTCTTCTTTTTCCCTCTTCCCACCGAGATCCCGAGGGTGTGCTTAAGCTTAATTCGATACTCAAATGTCAGCCACCACGCCATATCGGCCTTCATTCGTTCGATGAATTCCGGGTTGGGCCCTACACACAATGATTTTCTGTTGCTTTTTCTCTTTTTCTCTCCTCGTTATCCCCTGCTTGATTCCGAAAGCGAATGCTGCTTCCGCGGTGGAGGAAGAGAATACCTAGGCCCTGTCTGGTTGCCCCGGCATGACCTGGGTTTTGAACAATAACCCGCGGCGTAATAAGGATTCAGGGGGAAGTTCGTCAAATCACACATCATCAAAAACCATGTGGGATTGAGGAGCGGTTGGTTTATTTTGCTGACGCGGCCACCACCACCCCCCGGAGCAAATCTTTTTAGTCTCTTGAGCAAGGAGCAATGCAAAGAGGATGGAAGATACGGATAAAATTCTCACTAAATCGTCGACGGCGGGGAACTATCCATAGCGCCATCCTAGATTCCCTCGTGGCATTGGGAATGGAATGCGCGCCGGCAATATCGGTTCCGCATGCTCCCTCTCGTATGGATATTCCCGCGTCCATCCCCATTCAATGTCCATCACCACAACCGACTACGAACACAGTCAGCGTCCTTCTTGATAGCCCCTCACACCTTTCGGATTGTGGGGAGTCGACGGTTGATGCTCAGCTGTCAGGTTGCAGTGGGCACATTCTCAACTAACTTGACTAAAGTGACAAGTGTCAAAAACGGGAGATACGCCGTCTTCGACTGCCGCGTGCGCACAAAAAAATGTCCCTCATCCCCACGTTGGACGGCCGCCGTGTTGTTTTCAATATGCTTGGCTACGGATGACAGTCTGCCAGTCAAGGTCTTGGTGGTCAACGCCCCCCACTTCAGGCGAAGCTTTTGCTGATCTTCCTGTCCCTTTCCGGATCCCAAGTGCGTGTCGCTCTCTTTCAGGTTTCGGACATGGACTCGAGGCCATGTCTCTAGAGTCTACGGAGTAGAGGTCAGAGGAACTGTAGCATCTCCCTGCTGTGGTGGTGACAGTCACAGGCTGGGCAGGTAGGTCAGCGGCCCTTTTGCTCGGGCTGTTGATCAAGAACGATACCCGGCCAGGGGCTCGGTGATATTCTGCCCTGTCGACTCAATCTAGGGAATCGAATCCGAGCTGGACACCAAACGCTCTCGTTCTTGTCTTTGATAAACAGCTCGTGCCAAGCATCGCCCAAGATGCTTGGCAGAGTTGGCGTGCGCATATCATAATAGGAAGGGCGTCCATCCATGATCCATCTCGTTCTCGAGGAAAGGTAAAAGGGGGGTTCACCACATCGCTTCGACTCTTCGAGCAGTGCTGAGATGAAGACGTCGTAGCCGTTGAAGGCCCCAAGAGAGGCTTATGGGCTTGGCATCATCAAGGTATCGCGATCTTCAATGGTCACTGCTCACGATCTGTCTTGCTTTCCGAGGGGCTCCAAGACCCCAGACCCAGAACACTGCCACAGTCTCCATCCAGTGTCTCGCCCATTATAGGATCGTAATTTGCCTGTGCAGAGGACGCATTCCACGGCGAATTATCAATCAAACTCTGCTGGTTGATGGACGTACTATCCCTTGCTGGCGCATATTCATGGGTTTGACCTTCTTATAGGCTGGTTCAGCGGTAGATCGAGTACCTTACTCTTGGTCATTTACCGTCATCCTGCTCGGATTCATGACCCTCCTGGCGCAAAGCCTCAGCGGGTACGGCGACATATATGTAGTCTCGTAATCGTGGTCGGTTTGAGGATGTAAGGGATCAGTGTATTCTATTCTGGTCCGAATATACGACCAGTACTCATAGCCCGAGCTCCTCTGCAATCTACCAGTAGCCACGAGACGCTGCCGGTTATTACGACATCCAATATTGTTTGAAGCAGCCGCCTAGCAATCCTGCTAGAAGACCGAGATGCGGCGTCCAAGTCCGCAGAAGCATACGCAGCAGGTCATGCAAAGGGAACATAAGTTGCAGTACTGAGGGTGACTCTGGTTCGCGCCCTCGAGACTTTTGAGTGACCCCTGAGGTATAGGAGCCCGAATATCATACTATTCAACGTCAATGGTGAAGACGCGACCCTGAAGAGAATGCATTGTGATGCTCAACGAGGTCAACAGCCCCGTGTGCTCGGAGAAGATGTACACCGCTTTTCTTGAATAGCTTTCATTGTAACATTGAACCCAGCGAGTGACTCAACTTATGATTGAGGGGTCTAGATATATGGGTATTGTAGCGTACACGGTGATGATACAGAGTCCGGCGCCGTGTTATGTGACACACGATACAAGATCATGGTGAAATTACAAAATATTTAAACATGTGTTCCGTGAATCTGAGGGTAGGTGGTGATGGCGATGACTCTAGTCAATGCACTGCCAAACCAAACAAAGCTTCCGTGGCTCTCACTTATGATAGCGGCCTGTCTGGACCCTTCCGTCAGTTTGATGAGCAATTCGGAACAACCGTCAACATCAACTTGCACAACCCTGTCAGGTAGGTGGTCTGATTCGCGTTGCATACTAAGTGAGACCGAGCCACTGGATGCTTGATGCCTTCCGTCGTACAACGTCGCGTGAACATCCCATGGGTATCGAATCCTGTCAACTGCAAGCCACCGGCGTACAGAGCTTTGAGCTCTGCAATCAGGCCTCAGGTGTCGCGCTTGGTAGCTCGATTACCTGTCGCACATGCACAATGAGACTCAAGGCCGGCCATGCTCAGTCATGTTGCACGAAAGTCGCGCATCGCCGTGCAACTTCTGTCGTGAAGGTTTCATCAAGCCCGGCTTCCAGAATCCCAGGTAGGCAAAGCTTAACGAGCGACCGCGTCGTGAATTGGTAAGACTTGGGCCCCGGTTCATCCTGGGCTGTCGACTGGCCCAACTTAGCAGTCGCACCGGCCAAACCAGCGTGGAAAGGCCACCACATCCCTCACATTAGGAACTCCCACAAGATAACTGAGTAGTCTGTCGAAGCCCAGACCAAACCCGCCGTGTGGATTAGAGCCCCAACGACGGAGGTCAACATACCACTCGAGATCGCTGCCGCCCATGCCGCGAGCCTTCATGGTCTCCAACAGGTCCGTCAAGCGATGCTCACGCATGGAGCCGCCGGCGATCTCGCACAAGTCGGGGACCAGAAGATCAAAGCAGTCGACTGTGTCACCCGGCAGATCATGACCGGGGGTTGCGGTATCTGATTTCCTCATGTAGAATGCTTTGATCGCCCGAGGGTAGTGGGTAACGAAGACGGGAGAATAGGCAGAGGAGTCGCTGGTGGCACCGAGAGTCTTGGCGAGGAACTTTTCATGCTCGGAATGAAGGCCGCCTTCCCATGTAGGCTTGATCTCGAACCGATGTTCTTCTGCCTGGAGCAATTTGATTGCATCGGCGTACGTGATGCGTGGCCATCTGGAAGCTGGGTTCTGCATCATGCCTTTCCAACGATGCTCCACTTCATCTATCGGAACTAGGTCATCTTCTGCTGTACGGGTCTTCCCAGGCGCTTGTCGTTGGCGCAGTTCTTGCGCAGCGCGAGTCTGATATAACCCAGTAGCCAAACTGCGGAGCATATCTTCAACAAGGTTTGTGACTTCGTCCAGTTCGTCGACGAAGCTCATCTCCGCCTCTAGCATATAAAATTCGCTCATGTGTCTTGAGGTGTCGCTCCGCTCTGCTCGAAAGGTCGGTGATAGTGTCCAGACGTGCCCGAGAGATTGGGCCAAGGCCTCAAGGTGAAGCTGAGTAGATACCGTCAGGTATTTGGGCGAGCGAAAGAACATGTTTGCTGCCTTGTCCTCGCCCTTCTTTGGTGTCTTGGCCGAGCCCGTAACGACGTTGAAGACCTCGCCTGCCCCTTCGCAATCCGAAGATGTGATGATGGGCGGATGAGTTTGGGTGAAGTCTCGAGAGGCGAAGAACTGAGTCAACAATGCGACGGCTTCTGATCTCAACCGTAAGATTGCGGCATTCAATGGTATCCTGGTTCGAAGATGGGGCATGGTGCGAAGGTAGTCAGGTGTTTGGTACTTCTTCTGGATCGGGAACGTCTGGTTTCAACGACGGCATTAGCGATAGTTTAGAGAAAAGAAGAATGACAGTGGGCCTACCTTTGCGTCAGAGGGGCCTAGGATCTCGACATGATCGACCTTCAATTCGTGACTTTGACCATCTGTTTTGGAGGGAGTCCAGACACCTCGTAGGCGGACTGCAGCACCGACTCGCAGGTTTGCGCTGGGAAATTATGAGCAATCAGAGCTTCCGAGACAGTGGCCAAACTTGGAGAGCTGAGAGGAACACACCTCTCGTCGTCGCTCCTCGACACCAGTGCCTGGATAGGCGACCGCGAAGAACCATCGCCGATGTTGACGAATCGATCCGTCTTCATGTTCCGAACAGATCGGACGTATCCATTGACGACAACATCTTTAACTTCGGATTCGGGCTTCCATTCTAGAAATTGGGCAATTGTCTTCCGCGGTGCTGTAGAGAGGTATCGTCTATGGATAGGTTGGACAAGGAGCATAGATGGGCGCGCGAGCGCGCGCGAAGGGAATGTTGCCGCGATTCGCATGGTGAGGACAACGTTTAATGTGTCTAACTACCGCGGCATGTTGTGGAAATCGATAAACCCAACCCTCGTGATCTGCTAACAGCAGAAGTGAATGGTATAGCTCGACAGCAGAGGGGTTGCGACGGCAAAGAAAGGGACGGCGTCTTTCGCGACGACATGCGACCGATGACTGAGGTGACAGGTCGGAGCTCGAAAAACGATCTACGAATGGGAAGCTTCAATTCATAGGAGTGGGGCTTCGTGGCTCATAGAAGTAGATATACATGATATCATGGAAAAACTGTGTGGAGAGGAAAGTAGTTGAACTTACCTGGAGTTTAGGTGCATATTGCGATAAGATAAGATAAACATCAGTCTTATCTCAGTTACCTCCCCGATACGTACCACCAAGACGGGAGCTTCTTGTCTCCTCGACGGCCAAGACAGCCACACAGCTCCTCCCGTCTGCATCCCTCCACACCACAAACATCTGCTCTCAAATCGGATGACATCCCCGGCACTCGACGTCTTCCCCATGCTCCAGCTCTAGACTTTCTCTCAATCCTTTGAACAAGACTTGTAATTGTCAAATCGTTCACCTCACACCATGGCTGATTCAAATCGCGGTCCGACTTGTGGTCGCAGGAACCCGGGCCCCGAGTCCTTGTCTGGCTGATCGAGTCCAATTATTGACCAACTTCATCACCGTCAGCTCCGCCCTCGACTCCCGAGACACCAAACACCGGACACGGGTGACGACTTCGGGATAATGCAGTTGTCGACTAGCAACCCCATGACATGGATCTGGAATTCGATCGAGTACAGTCTTTTCTTCTTGCTCCCGAACTTCTTCTCCCTTCAGATCGAGGTCGCAAACCCGAGTGGGGACTTGTCTGCAACATGTAAGTCGTGGACAGTATGGATCTGCGTCCTTCGCGGGCAAACAAACAGCCAACGAAGCCTTGTCATCTTCCATCGACATCTTGCCTCACTTCTAGGATGAGCCTACCTCTCTTCATCGCGCCCAACCCCTAGACAGGCAGCCCTGTCTAGTGGGGGCCCAAGAACCATGAAGCTGGGTTTTTTGCTTCTTCCATGCCCAGCTTATTGCTTATTAGCTCGCGGTCTAAGCAAGGCACGGCACGGACAGCTGGGACTCGCAACTATTCTCCCTCGCCTTCTTTCCCTACTTTAGCTCCCGCCCCGCCCAAACTGTCTTCAGAGTCCACGGATACCTCGCCTTACCTTAGCCAACAACATATGTACGGACCCTGGCTTCAACCCCCGGTTGCACTGCTTGTCCCAATCGTCCTATCCCGGCTCGCAAGAACGCCTCAAGTGAGATCTTGGGAGACAGAAAGATCTCGTATAACCGCGGCAGATTGCAGTAGTATCTCGATCGGATCCCACCTACCAAGACCACGGGAAGACTGACGTGACACGACCCGGGTTTCTGTAGAAGCAAGACATATCTCATCACAACCACGGCAAGCCCACCCACCCTTTACGCGCCCTTCCTATTCACTACCCTGGAATGTCGCAGACTTGACTGAGATCCGGCAAGTATTGGTTACACTCTCCTCATACACCCTTCACCGCTCTCGCTTCCTGGCGAGGCGAAGCAATTCATTCCTCTGCAAAGGGGCCCAAGATACCTCACCATGCTATTGTTTCTTTTCTTCCTGTCCGCGCTGCTGGTCTACCAGCCGCAGCTAGAGTTGCCTCCCGAGCGGCTCTTCATTGCGAGGGACGTATTTAAAGCCACGAGGGCACCCCATGGTTGATGCTCACCTGGTCTCTCGTTCCCAAGTCATACTCGTCGCATTACTTCTTATCGAGGACCAACTCCACACAGCAACTTAATCTTCATCACCGCCCCAAGCACTTCTTGGACTGCCTTCGCGAGCTCACAATGCCTTCCTCGAAACCTTTAAAGATCAAGCCTTCCGAGGTTGCGGCGGACACCAAGAAGAAACTGATCCCAGAAGTCAACAGGTACTTCCGCGAGGAGTGGCCGCCTTACTCGATTCTCTACTCTCAACCACTGCTCCAGCTTCCGCTCAGCCGCCCAGCTTTCATGAGCTCAGACTTACCCAATTTCTGTAAGATTCACCCATGGCCGTTCTCGGAACAACAGCTAACCGTAGCAGATGTTGTCCATAGCGATCCTGTAGACTGCGCACTGGGCTGGGCTCAAAGCGAAGGAGTTCGGATTCCCTTCATCTGCGCCGCGAACGAGAAGCGACCCGGAGGTGATTGGGAAACGGGTGTCGTCGGTTACGAGGTATGTTGATAATGGTGTGCCTTGTATGACACAACTCTGACTCGATGGCGCTATGTAGGAGAGATTATGCCGTCGCAGCAATCTGTCAGCAACGCTGGGCTCTCCTCATCCGGATACATGCATGTCAACCAACTACCCGATTCCGATCGAAGGAGCCATCTATTCTCCCGACGTTGGTAGGCACATGCATATGACCTAGCACATTGGTTCCTCTCGACTAACGAAGTGCGCAGTTCGGTTCCGCCAGTTTCAAGACAGAATCGAGTCGCTTGACATGAAGGATTGGAGGTCGTTGCCAGTCATTTCCATGCCACCAGCGCGATGGCCGAAGCTGACAGACATGGGACGAAAGTACTCCTTTGCGGAAGAGCGAGAATTGGTACGGAACAAGATGCGCGCTGCCTTGCGAATCTGCGTGTTTAATGGCTACAACCACGTTGTAATTGGCGACTTTGGCCTCGGCAACGGCTACCGCAACCCGCCCAAGGAGCTGGCAGAGTTGTGGCGCGAGGTCTTTCTCTACGACCCGGAATTGAGAGGGCAGTTCCTTGCCGTCATGTTTGCTTTCGAAGATGACAGACAGTGCACAGCCAAGTTCATCCTCGACGACATCGCCAAGAAGACGAAAGGGAGCAGCAGTAGCAGCTCTTCGAAAAGCAAGTCCAAGAGCTCGTCATCATCCAGTTCTAGCAGCAGTTCATCCAGTCACAAGAGCGACTTCAAAATCTTCAGCGAAATCTTCGCAACGAGCGAGATAGCTAGAGTTCGGAGCCAACCCGACCCACGCTACGCCTTCTCTGCAATTATGGATGGCTCTTGACCGATTTGCTCTTGGCGCATCCTCGACCGGGTTTATGTCTCACCCATGGGTACTCGATATGAACCGGTGAGACCTGGCCGGGCGGCATACCCTGGGAAGAGAGTCTTGTCTCGCCGTACGACCTGTCATGTCAACACATGGCTACAAGAAGGGTGTTTGTGTCTCGCAACACAAGCTATCCAGCACTACTAACGACTGCGACCTTGTCCAAGTACGCTAATTGGTCCGCAATGACCGGACAGGGGGGCTCTATTTTTGCATTATTCGACCGGGCTTTCAGTTCAGCGGCCCACACTGGTTGCTTTTCCCGCCCTTGCACACGTCGGGCTGAAGCTTCTTGCGATCTCGAGGGTCCCCGGATCTACAACGTCGGGCGTCAATTGCCCATTCTGGCCAGTGGCCTCGGCGGGCTTCAATAGTGGTCTTCGGCCTTGTTTTCTTATGTTTTCCCTTCTCGATTTTCGTGGGGAATTTGTTTGTTCTCACTGGTGCACATCATCATACGGTTGACTTCGGGTTGGCGGCGTTGGAAATGGCAGGACAGACTGGATAGAATCGATGTAATTGGGACCTGGGAGCTTTTGCAGGTGTCTGGCGTTTTCTCCTGGGTCAAAAATCACAAACCCCCTCATATTCCATGTCCGGAAGCAATTTTCAAGCATGATTATATCTCCCTCTTTCCTATGCGCAACCCAATTCTCTCCAAAGAAGTAAGGGCGTCCGGATGTAGGGGTAGGCATGGTGCGCGCAACCCCGCCAATCCGACTGTCCGGCAGCCTTATGGTGTGTCGAAAGAGCATGACCTTGCTGCAGCCGCCTCATCTTTACCCTGGCAACGTGATCACTCCGTTAGGGGCCTGGCATTCAATACCGACGACATTCTTGGCTAATGTGCTTGCTCAGCAGAATCCGGAGTACAATTGACCTCCGCCGAGCCGAAGAGAGTAGTTAGCCGGACCAAAGACTGGAGAGCGACACACTTTTTCGACTCGGAATACCCGCGCCTGGGGAGTTTGAGTTGGACGCTGAGGTTTCCGCCCAAAACGTCCTAGCAAGAACGGCAAGCTCAACATCCGCGACCATTGGAATGGGCCAGAGTCTCTGTTTCTGCCCGCTCCTCTGTCGAATTCGTAATCGACTTGTCCTAGCCATACTAAAATGTTTGCCTAGGCACATGCCGCGGCGCCACTTGACGAGAAAAAGCAAGTATAGAGAAGGCTCGTCTGTCTTGCCTGTTTACCGACAGCAAAACTTTGGCTCTCCAACGAACGCTCAAGGAATCGGTGTCTCTGAAGGGATGGATGAGCGGGAGTGTCTGATATTGTCTTCCCAACACCGCGGTTGGTCAGGCTGGCGAAGAACGATTGGCCATGAGAGCTGAACTTCCGAGGGTCGAGGGATCTTCGACCAGGATGGTGAGTGCCTATTGGAGGGCTGAGAAGACACCCAGGTTTGCTTTTTCGGGAGCTGACATGATCTTGGGCGCAAACAAAGCTGCGCATGTCCTCGTCATGATGAAAAAAGGTCTACCGCGACCCCGAAATCCAAATACCTCACCCCTGCCTGCATGCCAGATCTTGACCGGGACATTCGATCGGCTTGAAGTTTGGGTATGACTGCGTCGGCTCTCCCCACGACGACCCCCCACCCCCACCCGCACAAGCAATGGACTCTTTTTTCTTCCCTCTCGAGAGACAATACTGACTCTGGAGTCTGGAGACCGGCAAGGTGGCCCTTGTGGCAGGCAGGATCCGCGAACACGGTGAGAGGTCTGTCACTTCTCAATTTCCCGAACCGCCAGATGGCTGATGCGAGGCATCTTGCCTGTGACACCTAATACGGCCGAAATGCGGAAGACCTGTTACGGCCTTTATCTATGGGAAGAGATTTCGTGGGCCATGAGAATCCCACCTTCGCGATCCTCTTACACAAACATAGAGCAGACTTACCTCCCTGCCTTGCTACCCGACTGACGGGGACACCACCCCAGATGTCCCAAGGACTTTTGAGGTCATAGGGGGGACTGCGGGACAGAAAGAGGGTTTATCTTTCGAACCCCTGGAACCGGGAGCTGACGCCACCAGGGCCCGACCACGCGGGACCGGAGGGCACTCCGCGGTCGAACATCCCGCAGCCCTCTTCAAATGCTGGCCCTTGCGTGGGCCCCTTGCCATCCAATCACACCTCATGCGCTCATGCGAGAGGTGCCGAGCTGGACTCCCTGCCAATTCCCCGATGTGGTCGGTTACACCAGACACGGACACCGGCGGAAGACGGGCGGGGGTGAAGATGCGAGAGACATTTCGCGAGGACTATCTCTGTTCAGGGAGGCCACTGTGAGAAGAGTCGCGGGCTCGCGCTCTCTCTCTCTCTCTCTCTCTCTCTCTCTCTCTCTCTCTCTCTCTCTCTCTCTTGCTGTCCTTTGACTCCCCTTTTCTGCCCATGCGGCAGTCAAGGGATACACTGGCGTCGCTTTAGACACCAGGGTGAGCAGGAAACTTCTGCCTTTCCTAAAACTCTTCATGAAGTGGTTTCCCGTTCTAGGCTGGGGCTTAGAAACGATTGCTAGTGCAGAATCGTCGTCATGCCTTTCTCTCTCTCTCTCTCCCCTCCTCACCCCGGTAATAGTACTAATGAATGTCGTGCCGCGTGCATAGCTATCCTTGAACTCTGCATTGGACTCGTCAATGGCATGGGTGTGCGGATGATCGCTGCTGCGTCGACGCCCAACCCGTCGTGCAGCATGACATGATGCTCGACGGATAACAGGAGTGGGACAAGGCGGCAAACCACCTGCCTTTTTGATTTTTTTCCCTCCCAGCGGGAGACTCAAAACATCATGTGCGGCAGAGACTCAGAGAGTATCGTGGTACATCATCATCATTGCAGCTCACCGCTTCGAGGACGAGAGACAATTAGGGCGGTGACTATCCCACCGCTAACGCTTCCCCTTCTGGCATTTTGAGCCGCCCAAAATAAGACGAGGCGTTCCCGGATGGAGATCCCGCCTTACGTTGGGGAATGGGAAGGGTTTTTGCTTGTCCACGGGTGGACTCTTTTTCTTTCCCTCCCTCCTCTGAGACATGCATGTAAGCCTCATCGGGGAGAAGAGTCGGTCGGTCATGGGTACTAGGTGAGAAAGAAGAAAAAAACGTATCGATCTCCGTCAGGGATCACGAATTTGCTGCAGCTGCGCAGATCAGCTAGACGAACCCCACCCCACCGCCTGCCGACATCATCAATGCCGTTTCCCTGCTGCCTGCCTGACTTTTGTTTTCCCCGAGCGCCAGATTGACGGGGTGAAGGGGGGAAGCAGAGAGGCCCAACCCGGCTCGGGTCGATCGTCCCATATTGGACCCGTCCAGATCATGCACATCAACCTGACCCGGGTGTACCGAGAAGAACCTGCCATCTGGACTTGGGAGATGACCGAGGAACACGGGAGACGGGACTGGGGACTGGGTGAAGCAAGTACGGATAGGCTGGTGAGCCGTGAGAAGGCCTCTCGGGAGGCTGCATGTTTCAAGGGCCTTGGACCCAACGACGTCCACTCGTTCGTGCCCTGTGGTATCCTTCTATCCTGCCCCCCGCTCCTCGTTCCGTCGGACTTACCTTTATGCCGGCATAGAAACGGTCCAGAGGGAACGGGTTACAGCGGGTAGCGACGCCGTGCAACCAAAGTGAACACACTTGAAAAGGTAAACAAACAATGGCGTTGGCTGCTGGGACTAGGAACATGGAGTGAGGAGGAAGACAGCATCAAGGCGTCGCCTTTCCCGGCACGCCCCCAACGGTCCATAGTTCTACTAGAGTAGGAAAAGCCCAGTGGCATCTGTCTCACAAACCTTGAGCAAACGTCACCTATCGAGGGACGGCAGGTACAAAAATAAACGACGAGATTTGGTTGTGAGTAGCATTTCCGCCCATCGAACTCTTCCCTCCCGACTGGCTGTCGTGCGTAGCTTGGCGGAGGGTGGTTGGGTGGTGCATCTCGGGCGGTCTACATTCCTGTGTGATTACGTTGTGTGGTGTTCGCATTATGGTTAGGTGACTGGTGTTCCGTCAACCATCACATCTCACATCTCACAGTCTTGCATTGGATTTCGTACGGGACATGAGGGGCAGGTGCTTACTTGGCGTGAATGAAATTCGGTGAAGTATGGTGGTATGCCATGGAGTCTTGAAGAGGGTCGTTGATCGGGGGGTGGATGGGAGGGGGTGTCTTGTCTTATGCCTCAAGGGACTGGGAAGAGAAAGGGTGAGGTTGTTCTTCAATGGTGTTGGGCATAGGCTGGGAGAGATGCGTGCAGCTGTAGGTAATTGAGGTGGTATATCGAAGGATGTGTACTACTGCTAGGTAGGGGGTGACGTCGAAAGAGTTATGGGGACCAGAATCGCGGTCGCTATTCAACGAGCAGCGTCCGTTGAAGTCGATGGCCGAGCGGTATAATTCCAACCTTGAATGGTGGAGCTGTATGTTGGCTCACGGTCCTACATAATGCCATGGATAGCTCATTCTTTTGTCATTCTTCGCCATAGTAATTTTGGTGACGGGCGATGTTTGTCCTGGGGACCTGCCTGAGAAGGCGGGTATCGGTACTTCGGACGGAATACACGGAATACCATCACGTGCTTGGAGAGGTCGCGAGTTCGAATCGAGGTCTCCTCGTGTCTGTTTCATAGGTTCTTCGTATTCACTGCCAGAAAAGGATATCTTGACTAGGGCATTAGCTCAGGATGTTGCAGCTATTTGCAGCCTGGACTAGAAGCTCGTGACAGGTGCTTGCAACGGCCGGAAGAGACCAAGTCCAAGTGGCTGGAAGAAAGCCGTGGCTCTTCCGTGTCTTGTCCATCTTTCAGTCCTCTGGGACAGACCGCTGGCTCGCAACGTTTCGATGGCAGACGCAGTGTTGGTTTCAAGCAAACAGGGATTGGCCGCCAACTTATGGCTGAACTTTGCCCAAGGATTCTCGTCACTTTGTCAAGCTTTCCAACACTCA